AGAGACTACACAGATACATGTGGAAAATGAGGTTGAACAATGAGATTCTTCTGAAGCAGAACCAGCACATAATGAACAAGAACCAGGGAGTTCTGAAACTCCAACAACTCGTCAATCAGATCGTGTGAGAATACGTCTCAATTGGCACTCAGATTATGTTATAGAAGGTAATATTGCATACTGCCTTTTAACAGAGGATGGTGAGCCATCAACATACCAGGAGGCAATACACAGCTCAGATGTTTCACTGTGGATGATGGCGATGCAAGAAGAAATCGAAGCCCTTCATAAAAATAATACATGGGACCTTGTGCCACTACCACAAGGAAGGAAGCCAATTGGTAACAAATGGGTTTTCAAAATCAAGCGAAATGGTGACAATCAAGTGGAGAGGTATCGTGCAAGACTGGTGGTCAAAGGATATGCTCAAAAAGAAGGTATTAATTTCAATGAAATATTTTCTCCTGTGGTTCGACTAATAACAATTCGAGTAGTTTTGGCAATGTGTGCTACATTGGACTTACATCTAGAGCAGTTAGATGTTAAAACAACTTTTCTTCATGGAAATCTTGAAGAAGAGATTTATATGCTCCAGCCTGAAGGTTTTGAAGAAGACGAAAAGAAGAACTTGGTTTGCAGGTTGAACAAATCTCTATACGGTCTAAAGCAGGCACCGAGGTGTTGGTATAAGAGATTTGATTCCTTTATTATGTGCCTTGGATACAACAGACTTAATGCAGACCCTTGTACTTATTTCAAGAGGTCTGGTGATAACGATTTTGTTATATTGCTGTTGTATGTGGATGACATGTTGGTTGCAGGATCCAACAAAGATCATATTGAAGAATTGAAGGCACAACTGGCTAGGGAATTTGAAATGAAGGACTTGGGACTAGCAAACAAGATTCTAGGGATGCAAATTCACCGAGGCAGAAGTAATAGGAAGATTTGGCTTTCACAAAAGAATTACTTGAAGAAAATCTTGTCACGATTTAGTATGCAAGATTGTAAGCCAATTTCTACCCCTCTTCCTATTAACTTCAAATTATCCTCCAGTATGAGTCCTAGCAGTGAAGAAGAAAGGATGGAGATGTCTCGAGTACCGTATGCATCAGCAGTGGGAAGTTTAATGTTCGCTATGATATGCACAAGACCAGACATTGCACAAGCAGTGGGAGTGGTTAGTCGGTACATGGCGAATCCATGCAAAGAGCATTGGAATATTGTAAAGAGGATCCTAATATACATCAAAGGGACCTCAAATGTTGCATTATGTTACGGAGGATCAAACTTACTAATCAATGGGTATGTAGATTATGACTATGCAGGGGATTTGGATAAAAGCAAATCTACTACAGGATATGTGTTCAAAGTTGCTGGTGGAGCTGTAAGTTGGGTTTCAAAATTGTAGTCAGTTGTGGCTACATCCACAACAGAGGCAGAATATGTAGCAGCTACACAAGCCAGTAAAGAAGCAATTTGGTTGAATATGCTATTGGAGGAGCTTGGGCACAATCAAGAGTATGTCTCTCTGTTTTGTGACAGTCAAAGCGCCTTGCATCTAGCAAGGAATCCAACATTTCATTCAAGGACAAAACACATACGAGTTCAATACCATTTCATTCGTGAAAAGGTAGAAGAAGGGACGGTAGATATGCAGAAGATCCATACCAAAGACAATATAGCAAATTTCATGACGAAGGCGATCAATGCTGATAAATTTACCTGGTGTCGATCCTCTTGTGGCCTGTCAGAGACGTAAGCAACATGATGGTACAAGGTAGAAAGAATTGTGTGAAGATATGATTGTTCCAATCAAATCTTCAAGTGAGAGATTGTTGAAAATAAGTGGCATCACCGAAAGTAAACCAAACTTTCAGTGGAAATTATTTGGTGGCAGCATTTGTTGACATTTAGAAAGGGCTGCAGAAATTTTTGATCTTTCAACAATGGTAGAACCTCAATTTTAGCCATTGTAAGTTAAGGTATTTACAAATTATTCCTTAAGTTTTAACTATAAATACCCTAGCTCATTTAGCTTCAAAATCATCCCAAAGCATTCTAGTTTTCTTCCAATACTAGATAGATTTTAGAGAGTTTGTTGAGATGTTTTCTCCTTTTTATCTAGAGAGAATTATCATTGTTTTCTCCTTGGTAGATCGAGAGAGGTTGTAATTCCTATTTTCTCATAGTGAAATTCTTCTACCGTTGCCCGTGGTTTTTACCCTAAATTTTTAGGGGTTTTCCACGTAAATTTTGTGTCTCTTTTATCTTCATTTTTATTTTCTCAAATTATCAGTTACGATTTTGCTCTATCCGATAGCCGTCTTCCGCAACAGTTTTGGTTTTGGTTTTTCTTTGATTTATTGCTAGTATGGTGTGCGACACCTCTGGCACCATTGTATTCGTCTCGTCGACCTCATTCGTATGGTGTCATTGGTTTATCGTTCTCCGTCGTTGTTTGCAACTGATGAAGGTTCAAATATTCGAGTTTTCTTAAAATTCCATCTCTATCAATCTTTTCGAAAAACCAACGTTTGTGGTCATATGTCTCCGCATCATTCTCCGGTAAGTCTGAATCACCTTTGTTCAGCTCAGCTCGACTCCGCGCATTTGATTCAAGGTTTCCATTCTGCATCTATTACTACTAATTGTGAGAAGCGTAAGTCTTAGTTAATATCGATTAGCTGATATAGGTGTGTCCCCTTGACCTGCTCGATATATTTAACATGTTATGTTATTTGTTGCTATTAGTAAAAATGTTCGTGAACTGATTATATATATTTATATATATCTGACTTCTGAATATTGTGACATCATTGTTAATTTGCATGTTGATGCATTTATGATATTTGCATGAGCATAGTTACCATTCTGATTCTACATGGGCATAGTTTCCGTTCTGATTCTATATGAGATTATATCAGTGACGAATCTAGATAATTAAGAATGTGAGTCCAAAATTTTAATTTTTTTAAATAATGGGTATGCAAAAAAAATATTTTTTTTTATTTTTTCCTTAACATATTAATCTAAATTTAATAATTTTTCTAAAATAATGGGATACACTTGCCCTTATGGGGGCTTAGTGCATCCGACCCTGGATTATATCCCGTTCTGACATCTGCATGGGATTATATCCTTGTTCTGACATCTGTATGGGTTATTTCCCTGTCTTGATTTTGCATAAGATCTTCTACGAAGGGCAACATCCATGTCATGCTTTTGATTTCTGATGAGTTCCTCGTTGGAGGTTAACTCGAGCTTATTTTCGGAAGGTAACATCCATATCCTGATTTTTGTTTTCTACTTTGAGTCCACATTGGTGGTGTCGGGTTCCTTTCAGGAGGTAATGGTTTTCGTTCTATCCGTTTATGACGAGATGTAAGGTTATAAGGAACTCTGTATGATTTACTAATAATAATATTTGACTTTTCCTGTTACTTGATTATTTTATTATTTTTTATATCATGCTTGAATTGACTGAATTATTATTTATATTTAAATGACACATTGGTCTTTGTAGCTCACCATGTTTTTGTTTCTATTTTCAGATTATCCAAATGTATAAACAATATATAGAGGGCTCTTATTGCAGCTATCCCAAAATAATATAGAAAAAAATCGAAGAGAATTTTGAAATGAAAGCTGGCGGCGTTAAGGGGAAATGACTTATTAACCTAAATATTAGATATATATAGGACGCAGTTTTCATAAATATCATAACGTATATATAATAACATTATTGTTAACATCTCGAGTCGAATCAATGCGAGTTATTCCTAATTCGATCTCAATTCAAACCCAAAGTTTAATCATACTATGCCTATCACGTCTCTCCCTAAATATGATTTCTAAAATAAAAGAAGTATAGTAGAGATCAAATATTGTTATTTTCCCTCATTAGAAGTTATTTTCCTAAAATAAAAAATAGTTTAGAATTAACCTAAATATTATATATATAGGACGACAATTTTGTTAATATCATAACTATAATTACATTTTCGTTAAGTATATTATAAATCTCCTCTTAAACTACTATTTTTTTATCAGATATGTCAAAAGCGACATAAAACCTCGTCAATAACATTCAAAATAACTCAATAACATGAAAAAAAAGGAATTGAACAAAAATTAGGTTAGAAGTAGAGATGGCAACGAGACAAGTCAGATTTTTTACCGTTCCGACTCCAACCCACCTTGAAAAGTATGTTATTACACCTGCCTCGAATCCATCTTGACATTTGAGATACAAACTCGATCTGAAATTAAGAAAAGTATATCATATTTCTTTAAAATTGATTCTGAAATTACTAAAAGAAGGGGATTGGAGTTAATGAAACCAAAAATGACTCGGAAAACAATCGGTGAGAATTTTACAATGAAAGTCGACGGCGTTAAGGGGAAATGACTTAGAGTTAAGTATTATATATATATATATATGATGTAATTTTCATAAAAATAATAATATATATATAATAACATTCTTTTCTCTAACTGGGGTCGGACTACTTAAAATCGCATGCTTTGGTTGTAATAGTTCCTCTAGTAGATATCATATTCATTCCGCAATGTACACGGAGATAAACACGGGTATGAAACAACTGCAGAAAAGGCACCATGTCCTGTTTGTGGGCGAACACCAAGATGACGCTGTTAAGCATAAATGGCTATCAATTTTGATTTTCATTTTTGGGTTTTCTTTTTTTTTTCTTTCCATTTTCCCAGCTGTTTCGTGGTAGGAGGAGAACCCATGTGGGAGGAAATGGAAATATTCAATTTTTTATTTGTTTTGAATTATTTATAATAATTTTTGACAATTTATTGGAATAAATTCAAACCAAGTTCATGCATGATGAATCATATACATATGCATGAACAATATTATTATAAAAAATTACAAAATAAATTGAAATAAAAGTTTACTATTATATTGATCAGATACATATGCATGAACAATTTTCAAACATTTAAGCTTAAAGCTACGGCTATCAAGTTCCTCAAATGGAAACACCAATCACTAGAGGTACCAAAATAGTAGTAATTATCACTTTAAACACTTTCTCATCCCATGAAAATTGTGAACGCCCAGGGCTGCCGCCAGCTGGTTGTGGGGCAGGCGCCATGAAATCGACAACGAGGGGATTAAGTAACGGGACGGCCGGCGGTGACAAAGGCGGCAGTGAATCCGCCGGAGAGGAAAGCGGTGCCACGGAACCTCCGTTGTTGGAGCAAGTATGTAGACTTATATTACTCACCGGACTCAACACCCCATCGACTCCGTGACACCGGATAGAGCCCGCGGTGCATATATTCGGGCTGATGATTCTAACGTTGTTGAGGACAAAACCTCTCCGGGTACCGCCATTCACGACATTCATCGCGTATTCGGGCAACGAACTGGGGAGAATCGAACCGGTCGGGACAAACAAAAGGTGCTCGAAGATCAACTGAGAAGGGATAGAATGACGTTGCAAGAAGGCGTGGATTTCGTTCTCGGGGATCACCGTCTTCGACAACATCCTGTCGTTCGGCATCAAGAAAGTGATGTTGGCAAGGAATTTCGTGTCCAACGGCGACATATTGAGAAGCATCACAAAGGTGAAGTAGTTAGCTTTCTGCATCTCTTCCATCGCGACACGAAGGTCTCGATTATCGTTGGGAGAAAGTGTCATAGTCGTCGAACATGATGATTCGAGAAGTGATATTAGGAGAGTAACCATGGTGATCATTATGGGAGTTGTTGCCATTGGCTTGGTGGTCATTTTTGGGTGATGGGATGAGCAAAGTTTTCATGGGGATCTTTAGGGTTTCTTATAAAGGGAGCATAGTTTATAGGTATAATTGTTGGGGACATGCTTATGTGATGCTTCAACAAACTTACCTCACACTTCCATCGTGTAATTTACTATTTTTAAAAATTTAAAAGAAAAAAAAAACTTATTTTAAATATTATATTATATATATATATATATATAATAAATGAAATCCCAATCTTTAAACTTAATCAAAGATCAAAATCTAATGCCTATGGAAAGGAAAGTATATGACAAGAATTTGCTATATTTATGGAAGGAGAGGAGAAAGGAAAGGATGAGGGTTTCAACAAATTTTCTTTAATCTACTGACTGAAATTTGGGTAAATTATGTGTTTAGTACCTAAAACATCAATTTTTGTCCGTTTATGTATCTAAACTTTCAAAAATTTCAAAACCACACCTAACGTTTAGTTTTTACTTCATTTTAGTATCCGTCATTAAAAACTTTATTTTTGTTTTATTTTAGCACACCGTTCAAAATTTAACGTTAAGTTTTGAAAAAAATTGAGAGTTTAAGTATTAAATGGGTTAAGTTTTTAATGGCGGGATACTAAAATGAAATGAAAACTAAACGTTATGTATGATTTTTAAAAAAATGAAAGTTTAGGTACTAAAACTGATAGTTTAAGTATTAAATGTGTGGTTTACCCTATATTTTTTTGAATGAATATTTTTATTTAATTTATTAATTGATTAATCTAGATTATGTGTTGCAGAAACTTGTTATAGAGATGATCCTCTCATCTCTTTTTATTCTATTGAAAACGCTAATATTTAAACTTTTAGCCTTGCTTTAAGACCTAACATCTTATCTCCCTCGTTCTAGGTTAGATTTATCGAGTCTGGAGCATTTTTCAATGAAACATGCGTCAAATTTTTGTTTATGAGACCAAAAATGAGTGAATTGAAAATTTTAGAGTTCAATGATCGTTCGACGACTGATGGTAACCAACGACGACAATGGTAAGTGGAGGCATGTGGTGGAAGACTTTAATCGAATTTAGGGTTATATTGGTATGTTGTCTAAAGTATAGAGATCAAAATTATATTTCATCTCAAATTTATGAGTCAAATTAGCATTCTGTTTAGATTTTAAAAATTAGGATAAATCACACGTTTAGTACTTATACTATCAGTTTGGTCCATTTTAATACTTAAAATTTCAATTTTTTCACAATCATACCTAAAGTTTAGTTTTTGTTTCATTTTAGTAATATTACCGTTAAAACTTTATTTTTTATTTCATTTTAATACATGTTCAAAATTTAACGTTAAATATTTAGAATCTCCACTTTGTTAAGAAATTTAAAAATACCCTCGGTACTTAAGATGTCCATCCTTTATTAAAGAATTTCTCCCTCCATTCTATATTATAGAATTTCATTTGACTGGTTTTAACAAATTTTAAAATTTAGTTATTTACCTAGAAAAAATCTCAATCATCAACCAAAAATTTAACTGCCTAAATTAAATCATATTGGGGTGTTTAAAATCAATAATTTCACCACCCTTCATTGAAGAACGCATTCCATATCTTGAGCCCTAAAAAGTTTCCACCAAGCAAACATGTCTTCGTTCTCAATTGGAGTGGTCTTCCTTACCCTCCTCTCCCTCGTTCCGTCCCTAGGTTACGGCCGGAACGACTCTTCGAAGATGCACCCGAAAATCACCTATCACGGCGGCCCTATCCTCAACGGGACGCTAAACTTCGCCATCATTTGGTATGGAAAGTGCAATGTCCTCAAGAGAACCACCATTGTCAACTTCCTGATGTCCTTGAACAAAGAAGGTGATCGTGATCTCAATCCTAAGGTCACGCGGTAATGGCAAACGATCGAGAGCTACCAAACTACGGTGCCGGGAGGAGGAAAAGCCAAAGCACATCACCCGAATCCGAAAATAATTGTGAACGTGATGAAACAAATCGATGATACTCCGTATAAATATGGAAGGAATTTGACCATAGCGGGTTCTATTCCGAAAATTGTACGTGAACACATACATGATCAACCTGACCTCATCCCCGTTATAATTACTGCAAAGGATGTAGATATTGAAGGACTCTGCTCCAGAAAATGTGCCGATCAAGGACTTATAGGTAAGTTTTTTAAATGGCTATTAAAAGTTACAAAATGATCTCTTGACTATAAGTATTATTTTGTTGAGTCCTCTGACTATTAAGAGTTATAAAATGATCACCCGACTAATCATATATTCCAAACTCATCATTTTTTGTTAAAAAAAATGTAATTGTTTGAGCTGGAAATTAACATGTTAACTTAGATATGATAAAATGTAATCACGGAACTATTTGAGATGGATTTTATGGATCGAATCTCCATTACATTATGTCATTGAGTCAATGCTTGAAATATTATGTCGTCGAGCTAATGTTCGAAAGCAACAGTGGTGTCAGTAGACATCATTAAAGTATGATTTTATCATATCTCATGTAGGTAGCAGGTTATTGTCCATCTCAAATGTTTTTCATTTTTTAACGGAAAATGATGGGTTTGAAACATATAAATAGTCAAGTGACTATTTTATAACTTTTAATAATCGGGAGACTCAACAAAACAACTATCTATAATTGAGATACTATTTTATAATTTTTAATAGTAATGAGATTCAACAGAATAACGCCCTGGGAACCATTTGTATACTTTACCCCTTCATTTATAAACATCTCGTACTATGAACTTATTTGTTTACATTTTTTGAACCGAAGATAACAAAAAACCATACATTATACTCGGGAATCCGGAAATCGAGTGCCCTGGAAAATGCGAATGGCCTTTCAAGGATGTCGACAACGGTCCGAAGTCGATTATCTTTCTCCGACCGCCGAGCCAGAATAAGGCAGCCGATGCGATGGTGATTGCGTTGGCGACGACTTTGGCTGATATGGTCACTAACCCTCTAAACACAGGCTTCTACGGCGGATCCGAAAAAGCTCCGCTCGGTGTCGGATCGGTTTGCAAGGCGATCTTTGGTAGTGGCGCTTTCCCCGGGAACCCGGACAAGGTCCATATTGACCCTAGCACTAGTGGTAGCTTCAATGCTCATGGGTACCATGGAGATAGGTTTCTTCTTCCTGCTGTATGGAACCCTAAAACTTCTTCATGTTGGACTCTCATGTAACAAGTTTTCAAGAAAAATGAGAATGTCGTGTGACAATTGAAAAAATGTCGCGTGTACGTGTTTTAAAATTTAATTCGAATATTTTAAATATGTTGTATGTCATATAAAAATGACATGTAATGCTCAAATATATTGTTAGATTGATAAAAGAATATGAATAAAATAATATTGATAATTTGAAGACTCAATTAAAATATTTTAAAGTTTGCGGATCAATTTAAAATTTATACATGATTTTAAAAAATAATAAATGTTAAATATTATTTACTTATAATTTCAAATAATATCATTTGTATTTAATACATTATATTTATAATTATTTAAAACAATATTAATATTCTTTAATTTTGCATGTCAATTAGTAAGTGGAAATAATCTAACCTATTGAGTACCATCTTAACTTTACTTATCATGAGGAATATGTACTTTATATATATATATATATATATATATATACACACACACACACCATATATAGGAATAATTATTTTTTTCCCTTTACACAATGGCATATGCCCTATATTTTTATGTTCCTTTTATTTAAATACAATGAAATAACATTGCTACATCATCCATTATATCTCCCCAAGCTTCAAAGTGAGTTTAAGTAGATGAAGAATTAGATATCTCATTCAGGTTATTCTTGTTTTCCGCGCTAACGGGTCCACGTTATTGGGAAAATTGATTGATGTAAAATGATACGTTAATATTAACTGAAAAATATTAAATAAAATAACCAATCAAAACAATAATCGTATCGTGGTAATCCACTATCTTAGAAGCGAATTCGTCACTATGCGTATAATCGTTGCAATGGACAAACAACCCCTGTGGTTAGCACGACTCTCTAAGAATTCGTACACCCGAAAACTGGAGTGACCTTGGATGGTATTACTCTTCTCTCAACTAAAACAACACTCAAAAGAGGACGAGTGTGTCAAAACAAACATTTGAGAGTAAAAATATCATTTCCAAAACATAATTTAAAACTATTTAAAATAGAAATAAATAACATTTAAAAGTATGTTATAATTGAGCATTACCAACATTCCCCACTAATACTAAAGAAATCTTACATAAAAAATAAAAGCATTGAAGTTAAAATATGAGAAGAGAAGTAAGAAAATTAGTTGTTTAAGCACTGGTAAATATATTTTTAACTAGTACATAATGATGATTAGATAAGTTAACGAATCTCGAACTTTCTAAGATCAGAGTGAACTCATAAGACACAATTAACACTTTCATCCATCGAAGTTCGTGATATGTCAACAAAAACGAAAGGGAAGGATTTTGGAGAACTAATCAAGAGAAATTTGATCCGTAGGGAAAAGTCCGACGATATTGAATCCAATTTAAATTCTCTCAATCTGGTGAGCTACAAAACGATAACGTTTTGGTAATAGAACTCCACCATTTATTGATCTTGTGTATTTTTCTTTTTTATTTTATAAATATTAATTTTAGTTATATTTTCATCACTATTATTAATGATAGTTTTTTTCAAAATAATTTGGATAAAATCTTTCCCAACCTATTGATAACGCAAACACATCATGCATATGGCAACAATTAGAACCCAAGATCTTTATCTTTAAGGAGTGCAACACTTCTTTTAACCACTATAACATATTAGCCTAGTGTACATAATTTACAGACGTAATTGCACGAACCTAAAATCTCTGAGGAAAACAACATTCCCTTTAACCAGATATTTTATAATTATTTTAATCATAGAATACTAAATACAATAAAACAATAATACAATGCAAATCCCATAAATCGCATAAGTATTTAAAAACAAT